GCGCCCGGAATAGCGCACCTCGATTGGGCACGTCCCAGGATCCACCCACGGCCCCGGGGCCGCCCACGGCCGCTTCACCGCCCACCGCCCACTTCCCGCGCACAAATCCAAACCGCGACCACAGAGCCTCGCTGCCGGCCGCGCCTAGAGGGGCTCCCATGGTCCGCGCCCCGAGCTTCTGGTGCGGCCAGAGCGCCCCTCGTCGGCCTTCGCAGACACGGTGGCTGCTGACTCATGGAAATGAGAATGGACTGCGGGCTGCTGCTGTGGCCAGAGGCTGCAGCCTGGACAGCAGCCCGCAGGCGTGGCGCTTGAGGATTCCTCGCTGCAGTGGAAGTTCATTTCCTTGTGCTTTGCTTGTGTAGAAGTCTTGTCATTTCCTCCCTGAGAATTCGGCCCTGATGGACATTTTGAGATCGTATACCTCAAGTAAAGATCCCCAGGCCAAGAGAGAACCCTTTTTGCTAGCCATCGTCAGGCTGACCGAGGTCTTTCAAGGAGGGAAGAAAGGATAAAATCATTTACTATTATCTCACACTAAGACAAGAAGATAGTTTCACTCGTGTGTAATGTAGAAAGTCCTTTTTCATTCGTTATCTCACTTCATTCTGACCACAACAAGTAGGCAGAAGGAGATTTGAGGGAGGGAATTGAGGCTCTACTAAGTTAAATGACTTGGGTAGGTTTCTACAGCTAATGTAAGGTAGAGACTTAGAGACTAATTGAAACAAGTCCTTTAATTCTAAATTCTAAACTCTCTCTGCTGCCACAAAAGAACTACTTTCGTTGTGATTATGCCCTAAAACATTTTTAAAAATCTATTTTGAGAGTGGGTAGAGGGGTCTTCTTACACAGCTTGGTTCTTTTATTTACGACTGAGAGATGTGTACTGACTCCAGCGTAAACTAACAATGATGACTTGATATTACATGTCCTCTGTAATGGTGCTTACCACACTCTATTGTTTGTACACTTTTCACCCAATTGCAAGGGCCTGGAGGTCAGGGAGCTAATTCATAATCATTTTTGTGTCTCTAGCTCCTGGTTTTGGGGACGCTCAGTATCTATCAAGTGAGCTAACCCCGGAGAAAAAGCGTGCCACTCTGATTTGAGCCCATCCAATTTTCTCCCACGAATATGCCCTCCCTATTTAAAAATTTAAATCCTGAGGCTCTTTAAAGGTTGCAATCGCCAGCCACCTAGTCAGTGAAATCAGCGAATTGAAAAACTACTGACTTCATAGTGTCTAAAGGCAGGCTGGAAAGACAATGAATTTCTAGCAGGCATCTCACCCCATAGCTCTATTTAACAAAACCACAGTCTTCGACGCTGCTCCAAGGCCCAGATGTCCTACATGGACGGAGACGTCTTGGCTTCACAGATCCCAGATATGTTTCTCTAAACCATTCCACTGATTCTTTGAACATACCCTGCAGACAATGACATCTCTATCCTGCAAAGACCTTGCTGCAATTTTGTTTCTCTTTTTAAACATTATCGTTAGAAAACGCCCAAGGAAATAGCAGGAGGGCAAACCCCTCCTTCTTCTTGAGGTATCTGGGGGAGCAGTGGCTTAGTGTTCGTGTCCTCGGTCACCAAAGGGCCAATTGTTAGATAGCAGAGCAGTGCGCCGCGGTTCTCCTCAGTTTTCGCTGAGCTAAGCAGTCCAGTTTTTCCCAAGAGCTACCGCAGCCGCGAGCTTTCAGGGCGTGGCCACCCCACCTTCCAACGCCTGGCACCCTATAGTTCCCAATTCCTGCAGCCCCCCAAACGACTCCCTTTTTGCCTTAAAAAACTCAGGCTGAGAGGAAAGTCATCTTGCGCAAGGTCATTTTTCATAAAACGTCAAAAAACCAAAACCCCCAAACCAAATATCCTCCCACCCGCCCCTTCATTTTTGCAGCGAGGACAACAATGGAGGACTACAACTCCCAGAGAGGACTGCGCTCGTGCACCGGAGCAGAGGCCAATGGGTGCCGGCTACCTGACCCGCGTGGACTAATCAGCGCCAGCCTCGCCGAGGCTTTGTCTCGGAGCGGGGCGCGGGCCTTCTCCCGCCTCCCCGCGGGCGCACGCGCGCCCCGCCCTGCCCGCCTTCCCTCCCGCGCCCGCCCTCTCCTTTCTCCCTCTCAGAACCTTCCTGCCGCCGCGTTCGGATCTCGCTGCTCCAGCCTCCGGGGCACGTCCCATTCTAGCGGCCTGTGAGCGGCAGCAGCAGAGAAAAAAGATTACCCCCCCCATTTTCTTGCCCCCCACACACTTTTGAGGCGAACAAAAATTTTTAATTTGAACCATGAGGGAAATCGTGCACATCCAGGCGGGCCAGTGTGGCAACCAGATCGGTGCCAAGGTAAGGATTTTAAACCTCTTAACTATATTTCTGAGAAGAAAAGAATTCACATAAACTATGTAGAATGGTTGTGGGTTGTTTGCAGTCTCCAGCCTTAGCCAAGCTTTGCCAAAAAGAAGTTTTATATGTATAATACACATTTATAGGTAGAATTTCCTTTTGAAAAATGGGGAATTAATTATTTTCTTGGCAGAATCATTTTGGGGAACCTATCAAAAGCACCCTTGAGGTTTGGGGGGCGGGAAGACCGGGGTTCTGTAAGGTTTTACTTAAAGGGGATCTCCTAACGGTCCGAGAGCCGGGGAGGGAAGGAGGTGCGGAAACTGGCCGAGACAAAGCGAGGCGAGGTTCCTCCATGTGCATCGCCCTTGGCGGGGTTTCGCAGGCCAAGCCCGAGGGGAGAGGGGCGAGGCTGGGGGGACAGCTGCCGAGCCCGGCTCTCAAGCCGGGGACGCGGTGCGCCAGGGTGGGCTGCACTGAGCGTTACCTCCACAAAAGACCAGGGGCCTCAGTGCGCCTCCGTGATTCTTGATGAGCAGGCCCGTAGTTTTTTGTGGATGGAAGGCTAATATGAGCCGGATTCATTTTGCTCCCTTTATTTCCCCTTTAAAGATACCTTTTAGGGTTTGAACAGATAAGGAGAAAAGAGGCGGTTAGAGGGTCCCTCAGGACTAAATTGTGGGAGAAAGGAAGAGAATCCTCATTTAAAGGAAGAGGAGGGGGAAACTAGCCAGGGGATAAAATTCCGAGGCCCCGGGGGCATTTCTTTCTTTTCTTTTCTTTTCTTTTTTTTTTTTGCGCGGTTACAGTGTAGCGGGGGAGGAAGTGCGGCCGCTACCGGCTGCTACGTTGTAGCAGAAGGGCAGGGCTCTGCCGGGCGGGCCCCGTGTGGCCCTGCGGACCGCCAGGGGGCGCGCTAGCTCAGGCTCCGCCCCTTGCGCGCAGATTTCGCGCTCAGCCCCGCCCACGCCCGACGCCTCCCTTTGTCAGCGGCTCCGCGTGCTCTAGCGCTGCAGCCGCGTGGAGGGCCGGGGGTGGGCGGCTGGCAGCTGGTTTGTCTGGCCCTTTGTGCGCGGTGTGGAGAGGCGGTGCCCTGCGCGTGGGGGTCGAGCAGTGAGCTTACCTAGTCAGGTCGGCCGCCTCAGTCCACCCCACCTGTGCCAGCGATCCCCGGGCCCTCCCAGCTGGACATCATTTCACATCCCAAGGAGGCTTTCCCCGGGGGGGGAGGTGTCTAGGGGAGGGTCGTGGCAGGCAGATGGAGGGGATGCCAGCACAGCGTGTTTGGTGTTAAAGTGCTGGAGGCAGGGGCATAATCGACCGGAACCTGAGCAGTCGGGTTCATCGTTCTTACCCGACAGTTCTGGGAGGTGATCAGCGATGAACATGGCATCGACCCCACCGGCACCTACCACGGGGACAGCGACCTGCAGCTGGATCGCATCTCCGTGTATTACAATGAAGCCACAGGTGAGGGAAGGAGTCCAGAAGATCAGGTCCCATCCCCTCTGGTACTTCTGGTGTCTCTTTATATTCCCAGGGAACCCCTTATTCCCTTTGAATGAATCCGTCCTTTCCCTTTGGAAACCTTCCTCTATTTAATTTCTCACCACGGGGGTCAAAGACCAGCTCTGCTGCCACCTAGTAGCAGTGCCTGGAATCACAAGTTTGGGTCCCTGACTGTCACCCAGCCCCAATTTATTTACCTTCTGCCAATTTTCACTCTTCTACTTTTCTCCCTGTAGGTGGAAAATATGTTCCTCGTGCTATCTTGGTGGATCTAGAACCAGGCACCATGGACTCTGTTCGCTCAGGTCCTTTTGGCCAGATCTTCAGGCCAGACAACTTTGTTTTTGGTAAGTTATAGATACCATCATTCAGTTTATTTGGGTGCAAGAGGACAGGGAGAGTTAGGAAATGGTTATCGGACTGGACAGCTTTTATAGGGTCATGTTCTGAATCTCTAATGGAGGAGGGGGGTGACTGCCTTAGGTGGTAAACTGTGTGTGTGGGGGATATCATAGGTGAGGGCATTATCCCAAGAGTTGAAAGGTGGAAATGTGATGTGTGTACCACACTTTAATAATCAAGCTTGCCTCCTGACCCCATTCCAGGTCAGTCTGGGGCAGGCAACAACTGGGCCAAGGGCCACTATACAGAGGGGGCCGAGCTGGTGGACTCGGTCCTGGACGTGGTGCGGAAGGAGGCTGAGAGCTGCGACTGCCTGCAGGGCTTCCAGCTGACGCACTCGCTGGGCGGCGGCACCGGCTCGGGCATGGGCACGCTGCTCATCAGCAAGATCCGCGAGGAGTACCCTGACCGCATCATGAACACCTTCAGCGTGATGCCCTCGCCCAAGGTGTCCGACACGGTGGTGGAGCCCTACAACGCCACGCTCTCGGTGCACCAGCTGGTGGAGAACACGGACGAGACCTACTGCATCGACAACGAGGCGCTCTACGACATCTGCTTCCGCACGCTCAAGCTGACCACGCCCACCTACGGCGACCTCAACCACCTGGTGTCGGCCACCATGAGCGGCGTCACCACCTGCCTGCGCTTCCCGGGCCAGCTCAACGCCGACCTGCGCAAGCTGGCGGTGAACATGGTGCCCTTCCCGCGCCTGCACTTCTTCATGCCCGGCTTCGCGCCGCTCACCAGCCGCGGCAGCCAGCAGTACCGCGCGCTCACCGTGCCCGAGCTCACGCAGCAGATGTTCGAC